TGATATGTGGGTGGACCGGTTCTAGGGTGTTGTTCTTACTTGAACAAGCAACCCTCTTATGATTACCCCGCCTCGCAAGCATCCACAACTATGAAAGAAGAATTAAGATAAATCTAACCATAGCATGAAACATATTGATCCAAATCAGCCCCTTACGGAATAGCGCACAAACTAGTGTTTAAGCTTCTATCATCCTCGCGACCCACCATCTACTTATTACTCCATAATGCCTTCCCTTAGGCCCAAGTATGGTGAAGTGTCATGTAGTCGATGTTCACATGACACCACTAAAGGAAGAACAACATACACATCATCAAAATATCGAACAAATACCAAATTCGCATGATTACTTATGATAAGACTTCTCACATGTCTTGAATAACAAAAATAACTACTCACAAACCATATACATTTTCAAGATCAGAGGGGTATTGAATATCATTAAGGATCTGAGCTTATGATCTTCCACCAAATAAACCAACTAGCATCAACTACGAGTTGTAATCAACACTACTAGCAACCCACATGTACCAATGTAAGGTTTTGAGACAAAGATTGAATACAAGATATGAACTAGGGTTTGAGAGTAGATGGTGCTGGTGAAGATGTTGATGAAGATTGGTCCTCCCACGATGAGAGGATCGTTGGGGATGTCCATGGCTTCGATATCCCCCTCCCAGAGGGAAGTATCCCCGACAAAACCGCTCCACCGAAGGGCAAAAGTGCTCCTACCCAAGTTCCGCCTCGAGACGGCGGTGCTTCATCCCGAAAGTCCTCCTCTTAATTTTTTAGGGCAAATGACTTCATATAGCAGAAGGAGGGGGCAGAGGCCGACTGTGGGCCCCACGGGGCATCAGGGCGCGTCCAGGGGGTGGTCGCGCCTTGTCGCCTTGTGAGCAGTAGGTGGCCCCCCTCTGTTATTTCTTTTCTCCAGTTTTTTTATATATTCAATAAAAAATCTCTGTGAAGTTTCAGGCCAATTGGAGCTATGTAGAATAGCTATCTCTGTTGTAGCTATTTTAGGTCCAGAATTCTAGCTACCTGTAATTTCCATCTCCATGTAAATCTTGCAAATTATGAGAGAAAAGGCATTAGAATTGCATCATAAAGTGAAATAATGACCAAAATATTATAAATAACAGTACGGAAACATGATGCAAAATGGACATATTGACTCCCCCAAGCTTAGACCTTATTGTCCTCAAGCGAAAGCCGAAATTGATAATCATCATGACCACATGTTTATAGAGAGAGGTGTCGATAAAGCAAAATATGGACCTAAAAGCATCATGATCATTATCATAACAACAATATATCATCATAAAACTTCTCATGATCGATTAACAATTCATTCACAACATAAAGTTTGTACCATAAACTTCGTTGAAAACTAACAAACTATGATCTCAATCATTGAAAGAATTGTAATTTATATTATCAGAAAGAGTCTATGTAAGAGCTTTGATTAGAAAGTTCACATGCTCAAATATTATTTAGTCTTCTACAATTGCCGGCACTCACGACATATTGATTGAACAAAAGTTTCAGCCAGATACATAGGAAGATGGGGGTTTATAGTTTCACCTTCCAACTCATTTACATCGAGGGTAATGTCAACAATAATAACTCATGATCACCTACATCCAACTGGATATATGTGTCTGGATCTTTCCCCATCACATGACGCTCGCCAAGAGAAAAAAAATAAAAATGGAATAGAGATGAATGGTATTGACTCTTGCATAAAAGTAAATACAGAAAAGTAAAAGATAGGACCTTTGCAACGGAAGTAGAGGTTGTCATGCGCTTTTTTTATGTGCAAGCTCTTAATGTAAAGGAACGTCACTTCATATTGCACGTTGTGATAGCAACCTTTATTATGCAGTCTGTCGCTTTTATTTCTTTACCACCAGTAGAGCGTACAAAGCTTATTTTTCCCTACAATAAAAGATCATACATATTTAGGAGCAATTTTTATTATCTTTTGCACCAATGATAACTTACTTGAAGGCTCTTATTCGATCCATAGGTAGATATAGTGGACTCTCATGGCAATAAACTAGGTTCAAGGGATTTTGGATGCACAATTAGTATCTCTATTTAGTACGAATTTTGGCTAGCAAAAGATTATGAGCAAGCACCAAATGTTAGAGGATACGTGACAATATAACTTCTATGTGAATATAAGCAAACAAAACTCATTATGTTGTCTTCATTGTCCAATGTCAACTATTTGATCATGCATAGCATATTTAATGACGGAGAACTCATTCGTTGGAACTCGGTTGTAAACCTCTCATCAAGGATATATAAGAGAGCCACGTTCATCTACTCCTTAGAAAGTTTCAACAAGTCCTCTAAAACGTTCTAAAACCTAGAGAAAAATAACTTATTAATAATTCATAACATTTCAAATTTTGGAATTTTTTGGGAATGTTACATTTTCTCAACAACTTATAACAACTCTGCATGTTTGATTTAGCTCTCAAATGAGTTTAATAGATATATTCCGAAGTCTTTCAAAGAATGCTAATTGTCCCATTCGAAATGGTAAACTCTTGGCGTTGAAATGAAAAGCTTACCATATGACATATATCTTAACAAAATATAACACTCCAACCGTTGCCATGCAAAGAAAAATAGTGTGAACTGGTGTCACTAGATCGCCCATTCCCGCAATTATTATCTTATCATCCCCTCCTAGTTTGCAATCCCCACCATCATTGTCCACTTCTAATGGTTGGGTCATATGTCCCCTAGGATCGTAAAGCTTATCATGCATATGACGCAAGTTGGACCAGACTACCCGTCAAAAAATTAAAAGAAGAACTCATGTCAGATTTCACCTTACTGCCATGTCATACTGTTTTCTCAACAATGTAGCTGACACATAATTCTTCATCGCCTTATTCTAGGTGGGGCCATCGCATACCAAGTACTATAAAAGACTCGCCGCTCCCCTCAACCCTAAATGTTCCCCCAAACCCCCCCCCTCCCCCGCCGCCGCCGCCCCTAATGTCTCACCACAAACCTTCTGTTCTCCACTTTCAATCTCGACTCTAACACCACCTCCATCCCTATCTAAGTTCCGACGAAGTCACTTCTTCCTTGCATCTCAAAAGAATCCACTCTCCTAGTTTAACTATGTCAGTACAACGTAGATCCACCCGTCATAATGGTTGTGAGCACAAGGTGGACAACCACATAAAACATTGTCTCTGCAATCAAATTGTTGAGTTCAAGGGCGGACAAGCGCATGGTGGCTCAACTCATTGATGATTAGATATTTGATTCAGAGATTGCTAATCTCATGGCGGATCATCTCACCAATGATCATATTACGAAATTAACGAAGGGTGTCACCTCCAATATCTTCGGCAACATTATAAACTTGGTGAGATCCTTACTCTTTTGCATCTCTTTATGTGTATTGTGGAATATTGCAACGACCTGTCATGGAGGTAGTGAAGAGTAAGGTCATTGACCGATGGAGTAGTTTTTTTTCTAGCATTAGAACACCTACTCGATCCAATTCTTATGTTTTCGGGTCTTTATTTCACTCTCTCCCCTTCTATCTAGAAAATTCGGTTGAAAACATGAATTCCCCCCCCCCCCCAGCGCATCCAACGCTCCCACGATGGTGACTTGAAAGATCTGGTGGCCTAGTGGGCTCATCGTACTATTAGGTAGCGAGATTTGTTTTTCAGTTTGTTGATGGAATTTGTTGCCTCTCGGAGGCAAGCAACCGAGAGGAAATCAATAGTGGCTTTGGAGCGATGGTGGTTCAAAGTTGGCAAATCTAGCGTTCTTCCAGAATATCATTGGGCCGATATATAGATAGATCTAAGCCCAAGTCAATGTGGGATTGTTCCACAACCAATGTGCCTCACTACTTGCAACATGTGTATTCTTCGTCTTTTAAATTCTCTCTAGTGATAGCAATTCCTCAGTTTCGGCAGTGGAGGCTTGGTTTCTCTTCCAATGAGCACCTCGGTTGTGATTGGTTGTTGGCAGACCATGGTCGTGGACTTGTGGTGTGTGCAACGACCCCTAAAGCACCTGATATTATTTTTCTATTTTGTGGGGGCTTTGCTGGAAAAAATCCAATTCGCATGCCTTCTCTCGGTCTCTAGTAGTCTTTAGTGTGTTTTGTGTGCACTTGTTAGTTGGTAATGAAGATACACGATTACTACGAAAAATTCTGTTCATTTAGAACCTAAACCATGTCATGTATAAAGTCGGCTTGAGTGGATGGTAAACCCACCCCTCTAACATATCATTCACGCATTGTAAATCGAAACACGGCCCACTTGAAAAGATAGCAATTGGTAGACTCAAGCGGAGGAATGCCCATAAAAATCCAAAGTCCACAACAACAATTAAAAATCCAAAAATGTCATAATAATAAATGAAAATCCAAATTTGGCATAATAATAAATGAAAAGTCCAAATATCGCACAACATAAATGAAATTCAAAAAATGGCATAGCAATAAATCAAAATCCAAAGATAGCAAGTAATAAATGAAAATCTAAATATGGCAAACAATGAATGAAAATCCAAAGATAGGGTTATCTTTGGATTTTTTTCTCATTTATTGTTATCCATCTTTGGGATTTCATTTAGTACTGATGTGCCATCTTTGGAGTTTCATTAATTGTTTTGCCAACTTTAGATTTTTCATTTATAGTTCTGTCATGTTTGCGTTTGAAAATCCAAAAAATAGGAAGAAAATAACCTAGCTCATCATCTGAAGTTCTGAACACATCCACAATGACCAATCAAGAAATTTCCTAAAAATACATCCTCCTAGAACCAAAAGGAAGCAAGTAATTAATGAATCTAAAGGCACCTCAAAGAATACCCAAGTCAAAATCGCATCCCACCCACTGCCCTATAAAAAGACCTGGGTTTGTGCATTTCCAGGCATCGAGTTACCAGTAAAACAAGTGAGGGTTTCCTTTTGTTTGTGTCTGTGTGTTTGTTGTGCTCGTAAGGCAATGGAAGGAGGAGCCGTCCCGGCGGGTGCGGGCAAGGCGGCCTATGGCGCTGGATTGCCCAAGAGTCCACTTCATCCACAGCCACAACCCACCGTCGGCGCCCGCCTGGCCGATGCTGAACAAGGTAGCTCTTCCTACTCGTGCAACATGTTCATCGTGTCCCGCAGCTTGCAATGGTCGCAATGGCGCTACACGAGCTCTGAGCCACCCGGCGTATTCCTTGAAGCTTTGAAATTATATTTCTAGGATGTTTGTTTATTTCAGATCATGTAGTACTGTTTATAGGCGCATGCACATGAGTGCTATCATCAGTTTGCCAGCATTAATTACAATATACTTCCCAAAAAAAATCTAATTTGAAATGGATTTTTTATCTGGCAGAGCCATGTGCGGCTGAAATAGTTCCTCAAATCATCACAGTTCAAGGTGGACAGGTAAAATTTTCCTACTCTTATAATGCTCCTAGAGACATTCAGTGCTCTATTAATATTTCGTTGTAGTATCTGGATACTAGATATTAGAATGTCCAATTGAAGGTGGTTCCTTTTAGAAAAATATAAAGTTTATTTTGTGGATGTATTTAGTGTTAAATATTAGAAAAAAATTGAGCAAAGTTGCCTCTAATTAACGCTATGTGTGTTGTACATATTTATATTGAAATGACTTGCACTTGATATATATTTTTAACGGGGGTGGGGGGGGGGACGTTTTGGCTCTGGGCAATGGGATGTAAACGGATCGGATCGGATTAGTAATGATTTCCCCATATCCTTTACCATATTTATTTTTTTGGATTCGAAGCGGACTGGATAATGACCGGATCCGGATCGGACTCGGACCAGAAACGGAGAAAAAATATCGGGATAGCAATGCTTATTTGTGTAAAATTTCGAGATAACATTTGTCTCTTTCTTGATTTATTATTCAGCACATTTTTTCAACTGGTTATGTCTATATCCATCCTACAATGTGTTGAAGAGAGCTTGGTGTTGTCCTTCTCTTTTCCCGTTTTTTATTGTCTTTCGCATCTTTTTGATAAGTTCTCTATTCCACCCCATATATGCATATATTGTAAAATTCTAATAAGGAACCCATGGTTTCAGGATGTAGCAATGGAAGTCAAGTCGTATGGTGGGAATGGTTGGGCATTTTTTATCATATCTGCCGAGGGCGCCGTTTCCAACGTGACACTGCATCAACCAGCTTCTCCCCTTGAAATAGTTATTCATGAGGTTTGCTCTATTGTTTTAGCTTGGAATCTGTACACTAGAAATCCTTTTTCTCTGGCATGTTTTCAAAATAAAAGTTCAGCTTCAACCAAATTAAGAGAATTATAAAAGTAAAATGAAATGTGAGATAGTAGTTAGAGAGATTGAATTGTTTTCTTTACCAACATAGGGAATATCGCAAGGGAAATATAGCGTTTTGTAGTTCTGGTCTTCTAAAAATGATATCGTTGTTTGGCCTATAGATTTGTTACCAACTTTAAAAAATATCTAATCCTTAGCATGTAATATGCAGGGTTGTTTTGACATTGTCTCTATGACCGGCTCGTATCTGCCGTCAAAAACTGATGGAGTTAGCACTCTAAAAGGTGGGTTCGCTATTTCGCTTGTCGGTGCTGATGGCCGCATCTTCGGTGGTGGGTTAGCCGGACCTCTGATTGCAGCGTCACCTGTTCAGGTTACCATCTTTCACTTGTATCTTGCTCCATATATACCAATAGCAGATTACCAAACGACCAACTAAGATCTTTGTTCCATATATAACCAATAGCTTCCATTGTATCTTGCTCTATTTGTGTAAGTATTTTTTAAGTCTATATGTGCTTCCTATGTTTCGAAAACAAAATGTCTGCTGCCAAATGATTTACATTATTATGCGTATTAACATTCCTACTGAAAATCATGATGTGCTTCCTTTTTATGGTACATAGCTTGTTCAGGAAATAGCATCGTTTCACGAAAAACGCACATATTGCAATTGAGAACCTTGTGCTTTCTCTTAATGGTTTGCATTTTGTTGTGCTGATGCGCAGGTGGTCATTGGAAGGTTTGCAGCTGATGAAAAAGAGGAGATCAAACAGGATGTGGCCAGTGGAACTCCAGGTGCTACTGAATCGAGTGATTCTGCGACTGGATCCTCTAGTGGTCCAGCAAGCCCATCAAACTAGAGTGCCGCTCGCACATTCAACACCAGTTTCCTATTTCCAGATGCCAGCCAGCTTAAATTCCTAGCTTTTCATTCCTGCTATTATTTCCAAATGCTTAGCTTTCTGCTCGTACTTGTTGAACTTTTCAGTCTCGTTATATGATGTATGGCCCCTCGATGTGGTCAAGTTATGTTTTCTGTAACTGGATGATGCTTCATGATATTATAGTTAATGAAACATTTCATGGTCATATTGCACACATCTGATGATTACCGGTTCTGAAATGCTTAGGTAACTCCTACACATCTGATGTGTATCAGTTCTGAAATGCTTAGATAACTCCTAGCTCCAAACACTTAGCTTTTTCAGTATCAATTGCAGGTAGCAACTGATGACTGCTCATAAGTCCAGAGAAACTATCTCCTGGAAATGATCTCTCAAAAATTCTAAAAAAAATACAGTGTGTTGGACAGTTTGATGTTCTGCAAACATGTAAAATTTCAGTTTCAAATCAATCTCGCTCAGGGAGCTATGAGAAAAACAAATTCAGCAATAACAAAAAGTGAAGCATGCAAAAAATGTGCAGTTCAGGGAGCTATGAGGTTGAATTGTTTTCTTTACCAACATAGGAAATATCGCAAGGGAAACATAGTGTTTTGTAGTTCTGGTCTTCTAAAAATGATATCGTTGTTTGGCCTCTAGATTTGTTACCAACTTTAAACAATATCTAATCCTTAGCATGTAATATGCAGGGTTCTTTTGACATTATCTCTATGACCGGCTCGTATCTGCCGTCAAAAACTAATGGAGTGAGCTCTCTAAAGGGTGGGTTCGCCATTTCGCTTGTCGGTGCTGATGGCTGCATCTTCGGCGGTGGGTTAGCAGGACCTCTGATTGCAGCATCACCTGTTCAGGTTACCATCTTTCACTTGTATGTTGCTCCATATATACCAATAGCAGATTACAAAAAGACCAACTAAGATCTTTGTTCCATATATACCAATAGCTTCCATTGTATCTTGCTCTGTTTGTTTAAGCATTTCTTAAGTCTATATGTGCTTCCTACGTTTCGAAAACAAAATGTGTGCTGCCAAATGATTTACATTGTAAGTATTAATATTCCTTCTGAAAATCATGATGTGCTTCTTTTTATGGTACATAGCTTGTTTGGGAAATAGCATCGTTTCACGAGAACACACATATATTGCAATTGAGAACCTTGTGCTTTCTCTTAATGGTTTGCATTTTGTTGTACTGATGTGCAGGTGGTCATTGGAAGGTTTGCAGCTGATGAAAAAGAGGAGATCAAACAGGATGTGGCTGGTGGAACTCTAGGTGCTACTGAATTGAGTGATTCTGCGAGTGGGTCCTCTAGTGGTCCAGCAAGCCCATCAAACTAGAGTGTCGCTTGCCATTTCAAATGCCAACCAGCTTAAATTCTTAGCCTTTCGCTCCCCACCTCAAAATGCTTAGTTTTCTCTACTGTTTCCAATTGCTTAGCCTTTCGCTCCTATCTTGTTGTTGAACTTTTTAGTCTAATTGGATGATGGATGGACCCTGGGTGTGGTCAAGTTATTTGCTTTTGTAATTGGATTATGCTTTGTGATAATACAGTTGTGAAATGTTTCATGGTCATATTGCACACATCTGATGAGTATGAGTTCTGAAATGCTTAGATAACTCCTAGCTCCAAACGCTTAGCTTTTTAGTAACAATTGCAAGTAGCAACAGATAGCTGCTGGAAACAATCTCTCAAAAATTCAGGAAAAAAAATACAGTGTGTTGGACAGTTTGATGTTCTGCAAACATGTAAAATTTCAGTTTCAAATCAATCTCGCTCAAGGATGACACGTTGTATAGAAGAAGGCCCAACAGTGTGAAATTGAAGTGCATTTGCCGGGAAGAAGGAAAGGAACTGCTGGCACAAATACATAAGGGCATGTGCGGCTCACACATCGGATCGAGGGCTCTGGTTGGGAAGGCCTTCCGGCAAGGATTTTACTGACCCACAGCCCTCCAAGATGCAGTTGAGTTGGTCACATGAAGCCTGCCAGTTCCATTCCAAGAATATCCACCTGCATGCCCAAGCTCTTCAGATAGTCCCTTTGTCATGTTGTCGGGGGTTTTGAATTCTTGTTCATTGCAAAGTGGCCGGAAGTAGAGCTCGTGAGAAAGGTGACTCCTCAGTTAGCTATCGAGTTCTTGAAAGGATTGTCTGCCGCTTCGAAGTCCCAGCTCGGATCATCACTAACAATGGCACCCAATTCACGAGCCGCTCCTTCATGCAATACGTTCATGCCCTCGGAACCAAGATCTCGTTCGCCTCTGTTGCTCACCCAAAGAGCATCGGATAAGCTAAGAGGGCGAATGCTGAAGTGTTGCGGGGACTCAAGACGAGAACATTTGATAAGCTGCAGAAGTGTGGCAGGCGGTGGACCGACGAGCTGCTGGTGGTTATTTGGTCCCTTAGAACGACACCAAATCGAGCTATTGGGCGGACTCCCTTCTCCCTGGTATACGGGGCAGAAGCAGTTATCCCCATGGAACTCATTTACGGGTCACCTTGAGTGCTTGCCTACGATGAAGTAGCGCAGGAACAGCATTGGTGTGACGACGCCGTGCTACTCGAGGAGAACCGTCTCCAGGCTGCTACGTGTGTTGCACGCTATCAACAAGCCCTACGTTGCTATCACAGCCGCAGGGTTCATGCCCAGTGTTTTGAGGACGGCGACATTGTCCTTAGGCGGGTTCAGTCCGCCAAAGGTGCAAACAAGTTGACGCCAAAGTGGGAAGGCCCTTACCGGGTAGTACGAGTCACCAGACCTGCCACAGTCCGTCTGGAGACTGGAGATGGCACAAAATCACAAAACTCATGGAACATTGAGCATCTCCGCAAGTTCTACCCGTAAGGCACAGCAGTCGGGCCCTTCCCGGTAGCCACCCTTTTGTACAGGCCTTGCCTCATTTGCATGTAACCCCTTGTACAAAGCCAGATGTAGACCCTGAGCAACAGAGAAAAAAATGAAGCGCTGGGGGCACCCAACAAATTGCATGCATGCATAAGCATATTGATGTCTACTACACAACCTTCTTCTTGTAGACGTTGTTGGGCCTCCAAGTGCAGAGGTTTGTAGGACAGTAGCAAATTTCCCTCAAGTGGATGACCTAAGGTTTATCAATCCGTGGGAGGCGTAGGATGAAGATGGTCTCTCTCAAGCACCCCTGCAACCAAATAACAAAGAGTCTCTTGTGTCCCCAACACACCCAATACAATGGTAAATTGTATAGGTGCACTAGTTCGGCGAAGAGATGGTGATACAAGTGCAATATGGATAGTAGATATAGGTTTTTGTAATCTGAAAATATAAAAACAGCAAGGTAACTAATGAAAAAAGTAAGCGTAAACGGTATTGCAATGGTAGGAAACAAGGCCTAGGGTTCATACTTTCACTAGTGAAAGTTCTCTCAACAATAATAACATAATTGGATCATATAACTATTCCTCGACATGCAATAAAGAGTCACTCCAAAGCCACTAATAGCGGAGAACAAACGACGAGATTATGGTAGGATACGAAACCACCTCAAAGTTATCCTTTCTGCTCTATCTATTCAAGAGTCCGTAGTAAAATAACATGAAGCTATTATTTCCGTTGAATCTATCATAGAGTTCATACTAGAATAACACCTTAAGACACAAATCAACCAAAACCCTAATGTCACCTAGATACTCCATTGTCACCTAGAGTATCCGTGGGCATGATTATACGATATGCATCACACAATCTCAGATTCATCTATTCAACCAACACAAAGTACTTCAAAGAGTGCCCCAAAGTTTCTACCGGAGAGTCAAGACGAAAATGTGTGCCAACCCCTATGCATAGGTTCATGGGCAGAACCCGCAAGTTGATCACCAAAACATACATCAAGTGGATCACGTGAATATCCCATTGTCACCACAGATAAGCATGGCAAGACATACATCAAGTGTTCTCAAATCCTTAAAGACTCAATCCGATAAGATAACTTCAAAGGGAAAACTCAATCCATTACAAGAGAGTAGAGGGGGAGAAACAT